AAAAATATATATATTTTGCCTCACATTTTATACTTGTCTTAGAAAACTCTTTATTTTTTTCATTCTACAATAAAGCTATGAGAAAGAAACTTGTTGAGTATTAATTTTCTTTAAGAAAGAGAGAATCACTTTATTACCGTAAAATGGTGCTGCCCAATTACATTGGGTTGCTAAAAACACAGCATACTTATTCAAAATCAATTAATTATTCAAAATCACTACAGACAATTTTTAAAAATAATATACAATTATATAGGATTAACAATATGTATGAGCATAGTATACAATATTTATATATATATGTGTGTGTGTGTGTATTAATATTTTTTTTAAATATTTTTTTACTATTTCTTTCATTCATTTATTATCATTCTATACCCTTTCTCATTCTTCTCTTCCCTTATACATTTTTCCAACTCCTAATATTCTCTCCTCTCTCTTTCTAATATTATATTACTATGTTTTATTTAACCTGTCAAAAGGTATATCGCTTATAATTTAATGTGCTGATTGTGAGATGTTATTATAATGCTCTAAAGTTTTACAGTATTTGCATATCTATGTATAAATATATAATAATTTTAAATCTGGCATTAATTTCCGTCCTCTCCTCTGGGCCAGGAAAATCTCCATGTAGCATAAAAAGCGAGTTAGGGGAAAACAAAAAAAAAATGTCTCATTGTGATTTGAAGCTTTGTGGTAGAAAACAAATATCTTTATGCGTTTGCATTGTTCCTGTGATCTGATTTTCAGTATGTCAATCAGGCGACTTTTGTTTGCAGAGGTTTGGATGGGCGTGCGCAAAGGATGGCTAGGGGGCCGTTGCTCCTCCTAAATTATTTGGAAGAAAATAAAACATAATATAATACAACAGGTTAGCCGAAAATCCGAGAAAATTAATTTTTTTTAATTTATGTTCTATGTATATATTGTTTTTCTTATTTTTGAGAATTCACAGTTTTAATATAACAAGATCCCAATTGCAATATTATCTGCTTAATTAAAACAAAAAAATCTTAATGTTAACTAAAAATTCTTTCTAAATATAAAAATATAAATATGCCTACATAATATACAAATATACCTGAACATAAACTTAGATACCTCTAATTCTAAATTGTATTCTCTCACTTATTCACATCTATAATTAGTGGATGTTCTTAAATAAAGATTTCTGTAGTCTGGGCCGTTTAAAATTTTTATCGTTTCCATAAAGATAAGATATCTCCACGAATAAACTAGGCGAATACCCCGACAGACGAACATTAGTTCATTGTCGATAAATCGTTTAATTATTCGTAAAAAAATATGAAAAAAAATTATATAGGTACTTTATAAACAAATAAACGCTTCTATCTATCTATATTGTTTTTCGTATATTTTTGTAATGATATTAAACTTTTCCGAAACAAATTTTTGTTTTGTTCCCTCTAATCACGGGCGGGTCTACGGGGGGAGAGGAGAGGGGGGAGCTTTCGGGCTGAAGTCCCCCCTCAAAATGGTAAAATATAACCATATTTTATCGAAAAAAATGGTATCTCTTATAGTATATCTTATAAAAAGTATCTCTTAAAGTATTATTATTCGTGTAATTACATTTAAAAGGGCTTTAGGAATCACTTAAACACCATTTCATACAGGTAGTTAGTTTCTTTATTTTTTACCAAAGTAATTATCGTTATTTTTATGAAAAAAAAACTTTCGGGCTGAAGCCCCTTCCCCCCCCCCCCCAAAATCAAATCCTGGATCCGCTAGTGCTTCTAATATGGAAGCTCCATACGCCTTGGGACGTTTGACATGCAGTCTGCCTGCTTTACAATTATAGTCTGTCAGCTCATTCTTGAAGAGCATGTCAGCTGATTTGCTGAGATCAACACGCTGAGAGCCTTTTTTTGGAATGAAAAAAAAAATCGAAATCAGCTATTATTGTGCATGGATATCTCTGAAACTATGCCGCATATCGAAAGACGAATAATATCACGCTTGTAAATATTAGAAGCTTCAATTTTGTATTTAACATCATTATCGCTATGGCGTATGGTTTCTCTAAAATAAAAGCAAGGAACCGAAAAAAGTGACCTTTTAAGCACCATCCTACCTTTGACTCACCGCCTAGAAGTGGGGACTTTCAGTATGTTTACCTAATAACTCGTCCAAACAAGGTTTCTTCCGGTTTCTAATATAATCATTCATTTATTGGTCATAGAATTGATATCTCTATTATAAGTGTCCTCAACTGTGACAGATTGTAATATTTCTCAATAAAATGTTTAATCTCCTCAGAATTGATTTATATAGTATTAATGAAGAGAAGAATAATTGGGGTGGTCAGTCAAAAAGAAGGCAAAAATAAATTATAATATTTATTTTTACATATGCCGACGTTTCGACCTGAAGTTCAGACCTTCATTTTCTTAGCCCTGATGAAGGCCTGAACTTCAGGTCGAAACGTCGGCATATGTAAAAATAAATATTATCATTTATTTTTGCCTTCTTTTTGACTGACCACCCCAACTATTCTTCTCTTCATTATCCACGACAGTCAACCATTTACCAATTATATATAGTATTAAATATGCAAACGCTCATCATTGGCTTTTTTTATTTGTAATAAATTTATTGAAGTTGGTTGGGGATTACAGTCAATGGAAGTACCTAAAATAAATTATACAAGTTTATTTTTCAGTGTCTTAATTTTGTTCGGCAGTTCTTGTACCTTTATTCCTATAGTTTTTTTTTTATTCTGTAAGGCTTGGTTTTTAACTGCAGTTTCATTTATAACATCATAATGGTGATGATTAATTATTATACTTGGCAACCTAAATTACTCGACTTACTTATAGCCTTCTTATTCTGCTTTTCATTATATTATAGTTATGAATAATAGCCTGTTCTTATTATATTAATTGTGAAATGACCTTAACCGCTATTGAAATGAAGTTAATTTTACTGTTTTTCTGTCTTGTCTATTTATTGTAGTATAACAAAGCATTAGACATCCCATTCAAGTTGATTTAGTACTGCTATTTCTTCTTTGGTTATTGTTATAGAAAGCTATTTGTTATGATTGATTTATAACCATTTAAATTGATAAATTTCTTTATACGCAATGTAATAATTCATGAAGAATAATAATAAGAAGAGAAATGTGAATTTAGCTCAATATACTTTTACAAAAATTGTTATTCATGTTAACAATGGACAGTGGTGAGCTGAGGATCACAGAGATAATTTTCCTGGGTCCCTCTCAAACGTTAAATTTATCACTAAAACCCAACCGAAAACTTTAATAAAATATATAGCCAAAATATTATATTAATATATTATATGATTATTTAATAGGGAGCGGGGTGGCTCAGTGGTAGGGCACTGAGCTTCCAATGCAAAGGTCCCGAGTTCGAACCCCGGCTCATGGCAGATAATTTATTTATCTGTTTCATTGGCCGTGGAGCGACCTTGGGTCAGGAGCCCCTCCTGGGGCACACCCAGCCTCTATAAAGTGGGTACCCATAATTAAATAATTGATTAAGGGGGAAAACCTGGCGGTTGAGCGTGATCTCGGTCAAATCACCTCCTTGCACAACCGTTGACCTAGAAACAGTGCTTTCCCTAAATAGTACTGAACCCCAGACCCTTCATGGGTTGTAGTGGTACAGGTATGATTATTTAATAACATATGGAATGTTATCCATACTTTAGTTTAATGTTAATTTAATGATAATTTATTGATTTAAAAATAAAATTGTGTAGGCTAGGCTGACTGCTCATCCAAATCAAAATAGGGATAGATCCAGAGATAGTTTTTGGCGAGGAGAAGTAGCCTTGTGACCACGGAATTAAATTGATAGTTAAGGATTTAAGATTAGCTTCCCATACTCCTTTAACCAATCCGCATACATTGAATTCCCACAACTCTTGTAAATCTGGCTATATTACTTTTTGTGGACTGTTCCACATCAAATTTCAGGAGCATGGGCAACACCTTTCACCTGATCTTTCAAACAAAGTACTGAATGAAATTAGTTTCATTACCCTGCAGTTTCCCAGTAACATCATCTTCATCGATACATACATTAATGACCTCTTCCAAAAATACAGAGCTGCAACTTTGTGATCGTTGATCTGTGTTTACTTAACTAACAACTCCTTGAAAAAAATTGTTTTATAAGTTGGACCATAGAGTTAGAATCCAAACTTTTCTAACACCAATACCTCTGAAAATTTAGAGTAATCATCTTTCGACAATAAAATGATCTAGCTGTACAACTCCTTCATGTCCATAACTATTATACCCTGTTCACAACGTCATGTTATGTCTCTTTAATAAAATGATGATAATAATTCTTAAATGTCTTTATTGAGAACTGTTAGCTAAGTAATAATAAAGTAATATTAATAACGCATGATAAAATAATGCATCCTTCAACATTTCAATCTCTCCCAACATCTCAATGAACAATTCAATATCTCAACAGTTCCCATGGATCAGGACCGAAAATGGGATTTTTATCAGATGGGCTTTTGCACTTATGCAACCCCATTACCTACTCTGTGTTAAATAGTAAGCTTTAAAATTTTCAGTATTCAACTAATCATTATTGTTTGCCACATTGTTTGAACCTCTTAAAACATTGAATCATGGCTCCAATTCCAAATATAATGAATCTCTTCATAGAATACTGTTATATTGATCAGCCCGGGATAAACTTTGATGTTGTCAAACTCTTCTGAGACAAATGCAGCCTATATAAAGTAACTAGAAGAAAACTAGTGGTAGAGGGTCATCTTGGCCGCACACCTCCTTGCACAAATGTTGGCTTAGAAACAGTACTTCCTCACAATGTACTGAACTGAAATTCCTTCAGTACAGTTGTATATGTTATATTTCTATTCCCCTATTATTTCTATTTTAATTTAGATCATTAACATCAATTGTATATGTGGATTAATATTTATTATATTTTATAACTCGCTTTAAACTAATAGTGTTTTTATTTCAGGGGGAACAAAAACATAAAAGAGAGCCATCTGGAAGTAAAGAATTCCATGAAATTACTAAGCGAGATGCTCCAGCCAGACTTAGATCTGAGTTAGATAAACTTATTGAAGAACACCCTGAGAAATTGAGAGAAGAATGTAGAAAAGAATTGAATGGTTTCGCTGAGCTTTTTGGCAGATACTTGTCTGAAAGTTCAACTGAAATAAAATGGGAAGCTATTCAGAAGTTGCCTCCAAATTCTGTAAGTATAAGACTATCATGATTAATAAAAAATATAAATTTCATTGTTAGTATGATTACTATAAGAAATAGTTTTTCGTGATCTTGCCTTCCATTTTATATTTGTTCTTGAGATCAGTGCACTTTAACTGTTTTTTTTCTACATATTTTTTAAAAATACACTTTTATTTATCTCTTCATCTTGTAAGAGAATATATTGTGGATAAGTAGTTGATTTGTATGAAAATATAAATGTACTTTATGATACTGAATAAAATTAAATCATCTAAAGTATGAATATGAATATATTTTATATTCATATAGTTTGTATATTATGTTGATTAAAAATAATTATATTTTAAAGTTATCTGAAAATGAAATAAAAGATACTGGTAGGCCTGTGCGAAAAATTTGCACAGCATATTGTTATCAAATGCCTGCTATTTGAAATTAATAAGAAAAGAAAAAAAGGCAATGTATCATAAGATTAAGAAATCAATTGTTACTTTATCGATTAATATAATCGACAAAGGAAACAAAAATTAATTTAAATCTTCATTAATGTTTGGAACCAATATGTTTACAAATTTCAATAAGCTGTATCTTTGTTAATAATTGTCCGATTTCGATGATTTTTTTTTTTTACTTTTGTAGGGAATTTAGTAATATTTTATATGATTATGGGCATAACGACAAGGGAAAAGTGTTTAATGTTTTAGTTAGTCGCATATAAAGTTTGCTTTCTTTCATAACTTATTTGTCTGAATTTTCGGGGTGATTGGACTATTTTGCCCACCTGAAGGAGAAGGAAGCCTTTGAAATTGGTGGCTCAATCTTAAAATTTGATGAAGAATTAATGATGATATGGCTTGCCGATCAAAAATACCATCTATAAATAATATAAACTCTCTCGATCATAGAGACCTCAAGTCAACGAAATGAGACATGTATTCAATGACAGTACTACAATTAACGCAAGGTTCTGTGGATGCGAACTCTATGTCTTGCGTTATCTCGAAAATAGTACGTTTGGGCTTAAAAATGCAGGATCCGATAGTTCCAAAGGAACTAGCTGAGTCTTGCTGTATGCATTAAAATCTTCAAGGTCAAATTTGCCCCCATATCGATCTACAGACCTACCACCATTCCAGTATTGAAGCCTAGCAAAATGTTTGTTTCTACTTTATTTATTTTAGAAAGAAAAACAAAAGTGGAGAATATGATTCGCTAACTCCCCGTGAAATTCTGAATCCAATGGTACCCCATTCATGGTATTTGAGCATGATAGGAGCTTATATTTGGTACAGAACCGATTTCGAACCTTACTGTAATAATATATGTGGGGATAGGTTCATATATACCTTAAACATTTCCTAAGTACATATTTTTCTTGTCCCTTTTGTTTATTGGTTTTATACAAATCAAAAATGCATAATTCTTGATCAAAAATTAATATATTTATCAAATTCTTAAATATTAAGTTTATTAATAATTATATCATTTTGCATTCATTTGTATAGTGTAAATATTATTTTTGTAAATTGAATTTATTTGATTTTGTATAAAAGCTGTATATGTAATATTTCTTTGAGCTGTAAGGTGATATTTGATACTTAAAACTCTTAAAACTCGTTTGCCATTTTTTTTTCTAATTATAGCAATTTAAGTATACTAGATATTATTTTAATTATATTTATCTCCTAAAACAGATCTTACAACATGCTGATCTCCCGTCTCCGTCCATGGAAAATGTTAAGGATATGTTAAATAAATTAGTGATGATCAAGCTGAATGGAGGTTTGGGAACATCAATGGGATGTCATGGACCAAAATCTTCAATAACAGTTCGTAATGATCTCACATTTCTGGACCTCACTGTACAGCAAATTCAGGTGATAATTGTGTGATTGAAATATACTAACTAAAAATAATAATTATAGCTATCTTTAAATCTTATTGATAACCTCCATCAGAATTAAGTATGTTTTAACAATCTAGTATTTTAGGTCTTGTTTACTATTTTTAACTATATTTATGCATCATCTGAAGATTTTTTTTTTTTAATTTTCATTTAATATTACTTATTAGCTTGTTTTACTTATTCTATACATATTAATTATTGTATATTTGTTGTTTATTACAGAATTTGAATAAGACGTATGATACCAACGTGCCTCTAGTTTTAATGAATTCTTTTAATACATCGGAGGAAACTGCTAAAATTATACAAAGATATGAAGGCCTTCAATTACAAATTTATACTTTTTCACAAAGTGCTTATCCCCGCATTTATAAGGACACTTTACTACCAGTACCGAAAAATTGTGTAGTTGATAAAGACTCTCAAGGGTAAGTATTTTCAATGAAAATGCAACAGTTTCTGAAGACAATGATTGTTACAAAATAGCAGTTTGTTTTGTTTATTAAATAATTTCATGGGTGAGGAAAAAAAAATTCAATTTATAAATTTATAATATTCAAATTTAATTTTTGGAAATTGAAGAACAAATAAACCTTTTTTTTTGAGTATATTATATTTAAATCAAATAAAACTATATAACTACAAAGTAATACAAAATTACATAAAATTTAATTATTATTTTAATCAATTTATAAAAACTTAAGAGTAACTCCAGATTTTTATTTTTTCAGTTGGTATCCTCCGGGCCATGGAGATTTTTATAAGAGTTTTAAAAACTCTGGTCTTTTGGATAAATTTATTGAAGAGGTGATCTAATTAGGAATAAATATATTAATTATTATAAAATTAATAATATTTATTGTTTTTCTTAGTAGTAAATTTAATGTTCTGAACTATCTGTTCCTGATCTTTTTATTCTGTTATGTATCATATGTTAGCTGTTTGTATCATTTTATTAGATTTGGTATTGCCAATAATCCATAATTCCTAATAATCCAATAATAATAATTAAAAGATAAAATGTGAGGTATACATATTTTGGAGAAAAATAAAAACCTGTCATTTTTTTTTCAGACCCGCCAGTAAAACCTCATATAATGTTTTGCAATCTTATCTGAAAAATTCATTTCATTTGAATTGTACATCTTTAATGTAATATCGTGTATTTGTGGCAGAATTGATTTTTTTCCTAATAGTTATTTAAAACTATTTATTCCACTATTCTTTATTATATTATTAATCCAGCTTTTTATTCCTTAAAAATTTAAATTATTATCATTAATTATTATTAACATATGATAAAATGTTTCTTATCTTCTGTTTTTTTTAGGGGAGAACTTACTGCTTCATATCTAATATTGATAACTTAGGTGCTACAGTTGATTTGAATATTCTAAATCACATCTTCCATTCACAAGTTGAACCAGAATTTCTAATAGAATTGACTGACAAAACCAAGGCTGACGTTAAGGTATATGTCACCTTTCTTTTGTATGAAGAATGAGTTATTTCTTGTTGAGTATCAGGAGGTTTCTATTCTGATCAGAATAAAAAAATATCAATTTAAATAAAAGATAATTCCTTTTAAATAATGATAATTTTTCATACAATCTATAACTTATTGCAAGTAATGATTTATATATTTTAAAAACTCGTCCATTACATTTAATGTTTAGCATTTAGTAACTCAGCATTGAAATTCCATTCATTGATTTACAACTTACTGCTAATTATTATTAATAAGTTAATAATCAACTTACTCAATTATAGCTATAATTGAGTTGCTCAATTCTTATTATATGTTTAATTAATTGTATTCTTATTTTGTCTGATATTAGAAAAAAGATCTCAAAATAATATTTTTTTTCTACGACTACTGACTGGAAAGGTCATTGTTTATGCGATAAAAATATCTAACAAAGGGAGATTACAGACGTGAGGGTCACCGATTTGAATGGAAATTTTTTTGGTGACATTAGTTTGAAAAATATATGTCCCATGTCCAAGTTTTCTTGACAATATGCTCTAGGAGCCAATATAAAAAAAAAATATATAAAAATTTAACATTTTTGTTATGTTATTGTTTTCTGTCTTAGCTCTTCATGGATTTCTAGGTTATAATATATTATTTGTGAAAAATAAGAAAAACAGATTGGTGTCTGTATTAAACGAATTAAAATGTATAATGAATTACAAAAAACAAATGGGGCAGTTTCCAGTAAAGCAGGCCAAGTAAATTTTTGTCATGAAAAATCGTCAAGAAATAATAAATAATAAGAATATATATATATATGAAATTTGGGACTGAGTAAATACACTTTGAATGAATTGACTCACCTGGTTTGTTATTCTTCATTTGTGAGGCATGACAACTAAATAAAAGGACTATCCACTCCTGTATAACAAAATAATTTATTTCCACAACTTCAATAAACGAATAATTGAATTGATCTTCTTAATTTTCATTGGAGTGGGCTTCTCTCCTCTGGTAACCTCCTTCCTTCTTCCTGTCCTTGCCTCAGTTATCTTCTTTGTTCTCCCAGCCTCCTTCTCCAGCTGCTGCCATCTGTCGACACTCTTCCAGTTTTCTTCCTTTCTTTATTCTGTACCTTTTTCGTTGATTGTTTATCGATTTGATACTTTTCAATAAATAACTTGTCCATTGCACAATTGAGCCCAATTCATAGTGCTACCCTACATTCCTATTCACTCCTCATTCCCTCACCCAATGTCACATAAAGGAGTAAATACTAGAGGTCATCTACTACACCAGGATTCAATTCTGTGCCCTATAAATTCTACAAAAATTCTTCAGAATGAGTTTTTTTTACAAATTGTTAATATATTTAGTGATTATTTTAATACTGTAAATATCCCACAGAGCTTCACCGAACCGGTCACTTACCCATTATTCAAAAAGGGAAATGTCCATAAAGAAGAAAATTATTGAGGCATTTCCTTAATTAATATTACTGCTAAACTATGTTTTTTGGGCCCCTTTGTGGAACTGGGCGAGAACAAATTTTTAAATGACTCGAGCAGGATTTCGATCTGGATTGACAGTTGACCACATTTTTACTTTGTTTAGTATCTGTAAACTGAGTCAGACAAAAAAAGTCGTAAAGTTTATACATTCTTTGTAGACTTTAAAGCAGCCTTTGATTGCATGATCGGGAGGCAATATTTTTTATGTTGGCTAATTTTGGGTTGTCATCTAAATTTTTAGGTGTCTTAAAAAGTATGTATTCAAATACTCAAGTGACATTAATGAAAATCAAATATAATAGTTTTCCGCAATGGAAGCAGGTATCCAAATTCGAGCAGTGGAATTGAGGTGGTGAATGAATATAAATATCTCGGACTAATAATTACCTCAAGATTAGCCTACAGGCGTCATTTTGTGGAAAGAGTCAGTCATGCAATATTTGGATTGAACTCTGCTTGGCATAATTTCATGGCTTACAAAAATGTCCCCTATACAAATAAATTAGAAGTATATAAGACAGTTTCATGGGCAGTGGTTACCTATGCTGGACAGGTTTGGGGTTTCGAACAATTTGATGCATTTAGAAAAATTCAAACGATATTTTTTTTAAAAATTGTTACTCTTCCCGAGGTATGATATTTATATTTTAGTGCATGAAACGAATATCTCCTCTAAATATGCTTACATGCTAAAAATACATTTTGATTATATTTTAAAAGTTCTGGAGATACCTGATTACTACTTATTGTTTTATTGCTTGTTGGTCAAGTTTTACTAACATTTAATATTTATTAAATTAGAAATTAGAAAAAAGAAGGGGGAAATTAGAACAAAAAATGAGATGAAATAATATATTTTTTTTTTTTGGAAATTTTTAATTTTTAAATTTAAGTATTATTAAATATATGTTTCTATGTGCAAAGTTAAAAATATTAAGTTTTAGTTTGAATATTTTAAAGCTTGATTCAAATCTCAATGAAATAACGCCAATTCATAAAAAACATACAGAGAGATAAAACCAATTGAACTCTTTTAATTTAATTTATGAATATTATTAAAATGTAATTGATTATTTTATTTTATTCTATATTTTTTCATTTTAATTCTATAGGGTGGAACATTGATACAATATCAAGATAAGCTGAGAATTCTTGAAATAGCTCAGGTTCCTAAAGAGCATGTGGATGACTTTAAATCAGTTAAGACTTTTAGGTATTTCAATACCAACAACATTTGGATTCAACTCCCAGGTTTTTATATATTAATTAAACTACATAATATAAATAATAATGATAATATCAGTATCTTTATTAACTGAATATATTTTTTGTTTCTGATTTATAATTATGCTATATAAGAAAACAACTGATAAGTTGATTACAAAAATTAAACATGAGAAATTAAAAAAAAAAATCTGTCAAGCTTCTCTTTATTTGATGTTTTTTTTTCTTTTTTACCAACTCCCGGGCCATTTCCTTTTTCAATTAGCATATGTTCAACCATCTACACATGTATGTTTAAATTATTTCATTAACTTATTTCATTAATTTAAAGTTAAAATCTGAATAATAATAAATTATAAAAGCATCTTCAAAACATTATTTATATATTTTTTATCTCCTTCCTTGCTTTATCAGCTGAACAGTGTTTTTCCCAGGCCAGGGGTGAGGGTAAGGGATTTATGGCTGAGTTAAAAGACCTGTGATCACTGGAAAAGTTGAAATTTGAACTATTAATCTTCGGTTTTGAGAGTGGGGTAGCTCAGTGGTAGGGTACTGAGCTTCCAATGCCAAAGGTCCCAGGTTCGGATCCTGGCTCATGGCAGAAAATTTATTTATCTGTTTCATTGGCCGTGGGGCGACCCTGGGTTGGGAGACCCTCCTGGGGCACACCCAGCCTCTATAAAGTGGGTACCCTTAATTAAATAACTAATTAAGGGAGAAAACCTGGCACTTGATCTCGGTCAAATCACCTCATTGCACAATCGTTGACCTAGAAACAGTGTTTTCCCTAAATAATACTGAACCCAAGATCCTTCATGGGTTGTAGTGGTACAGGTTTTTTTTATTTATTTATTTTTTATGTCTTTGGTTTATCAGATTGCGGGACAACAAGTACTTTGTACACCTGTTAGCCTGCTCAGTCACCCCACCCTTTCATATCAAATAATGCTCTCTTTTGAACATTTATAAATCATTTTTATTTTAAAAGTTAATGGAGCATTGGAAAAAAAAAAAAAATGACCTAAGGTGTTCTTATTTCCTCTAATATGAGATTAAATTTAGTTTTTATATTTTACTAATAAATATAAACATAGTTTAAGTATTATTAGTGTAAATGTTGCATTACGCAGTACAGATATGAATGACTCTTTATATGGTCTTTGGATGGAGACAAATTCTATTGCTAAATGAAAGGTTAAGAAAAGTCTCCTCTGAGAACTATAATATTTATCGTAAATGAGATTTAGAATTTAACAGTAGCATTGTGCCTTTAATATTTAATGTGAAGATAAAAGGTCCTCTCAAAATTATCCAAGTTTTTTATTGTTCACTAGTTTTTTTTAACTAAACTAAAAACAGGAAATTAAATGTGAAAAACTCTTTTCCTTTTGGTTATTTCTGCCAATGACTTGTCGTAAAATTAAACAATTCTAATAGTGTATATATATATATATATATATATATATATATATATATATATATATATATATATATATATAGACATCAATGTGAAGTTAAATTTTGTATTTCTTGTTCTTGGTTATTAGACCATAAAACAAAATAAATCCTACCACTACAAATTGGTGCCAAGCACTAAATTAACTCTAGTTTTACTATATATTAAGGAAAGGCCAAACTTAAATAAATTTATTTCTGTTTTTTTCAGCCATAAAAAAAGTCTTAGAACAAGGTCTTTTAAATATGGAAATAATTGTGAACCCTAAAACCTTAGACAATGGTGCAAGTGTTATTCAGCTTGAAACTGCTGTTGGAGCAGCAATGAAGTCTTTTAATGGATGTATTGGTAAATTAAATGAGAGGGTTTATATTATTTCTTAGATGGTTTAAATAAAAAATAATGTTTTAATTCTTTTTAGGAATAAATGTTCCTCGTAGAAGGTTTCTTCCAGTGAAAAAAACATCTGATATGTTGCTTGTTATGAGTAATCTTTACAAATTATCTAACGGCCATTTAGTAATGTCTCCTGATCGACTATTTCCTACTACTCCTCTCGTTAAGTTAGGAGATAGACATTTCTCCAAGGTAAGGAAAAAATATAACTCTGTAATAGTATTTTTCTTTTAATGGAGTGTTTAAGTACTTACATGTTTTATTCTTGTTTAGGTCAACGAGTTTCTCAACAGATTCGCTTCAATTCCTGATATATTAGATTTAGATCATCTCACAGTTTCTGGTGATGTAACTTTTGGACGAAATGTTGTACTTAAAGTTAGTAACTTAATTATCATCTTAGTTTTGTTTAAACCATTAATCTATTATAAATATAATGCAGCAGTTTAGATCTTTTTCCTGGTCCTCAGGAGTGATGGATTTTGGCAGAGGAAATGTCAAAAGAAAGAGAATTTTATGTTTCGTCTCAGCAAGTACAATACTGGGTTATAAAATAAGTTGATGGATAGCTGAGTCTTATTGCATACCTGAAGAGGTATTTTCCTGTAGAGGAAGCTTACTTCCAGGTGTTACATTTATAGTTCTAGTTGTTGATGTAGTTACCGTTGGTGCTATTAGCTCCAATTTATTTCTTCAAGAGCTGCCAAAAATTTTCAACTCACAACATTAAAAGTTTCATGTAACAGCATCATTTTAATTGTGTTGAATATGTAACTTTGAGTCTACAAACTTCGATATGAGCACAGCTTTAGTTTGTTACCATTTAAGAACATGGAACACCACGTGTGATCTATTATTAGCTGGTAAAACGTGGTGAAATGGTTAGTATTGAACCCTATCGACAACAAATGACCAATTTGAATCAAGTATTAGGTTGAAAAATGACCACAACATAATAAAATACAAAGTGATTTTATTTAATAATAAAGAACCAGTACACACAGCAAACCAGTGAAGAAAATGACAGGCATTCAGTTGGAAAATATTAGCGCATGTGGCTTACTCACTAATTTTCTATTACTACTATCTATTATATTGATGGAGCTTGCACTTGTTCTGCGAGCCCCATCAATATAATATATGCTACTGGAGCAAATCACTTATTCTTTATGTTTTAAAATTTATTTATTAGTTCACTTTACCTTGAAATTAGAGTTCAAGGTTGTTTAGTCTTTATTCACTAGTCATTATCATTGTTTAATTTATGCATACAATTGTATCATATTCTATTATATCATATAATATCATATTCATATATATATATATATATATATATATATATTTTTTTTTTTTTTTTTCAGGGGACAGTGATCATCATTGCAAATCATGGTGATAGGATTGATATACCCTCTGGAGCGATTCTCGAAAACAAAATAGTATCAGGCAACTTGAGGATATTAGATCATTAACCCCTTTGTCAAATTGAAATATATATATAAGAAAACTGTACTGTTATTTATAAAAATATAAATTATATGCTTAATGCATATATGACCATCTATTGTTGAAAATATATTTTTTCCGTTTCACAAGTTTTTTTAATTTTTCTTGTATTGTCCTATTGATCATCATTTGGTTAATTAGTTACTCTGTTAGTTCTAAAATTATTACATTGATTTCCATTAGACATAAATAGTTCTGTATAAAATTAAGGACCTGATGTCATCACTGGTACATACAGAATACTAATTAAATTAAACAACAAAGAATATTCTAAAAATTATTTCATATAACACTTGCTCATAATGTCAGTAAATGCTGAAAAAGGATGTATAAAGGAAAATGGAAAGAATGCAGTTTTTGACTTTCGAACTTTGTCGGGACTGGTTAGGAAGAAAACATACTGAGTCTCCAAACCTTAAAGATGAACGAGAGGTGAAGAGTCACCCAGAAAGTCACTTTTTTTTTTTTTTTTTTGCTTATATTATGAAACAAAACTTGTGTGTTCTAGCAATAAGGATATTCTAAATAAAATTAAAACTGATGGAAGCTGGGGTGGCTGAGTGGACTAACCGTGTGCACAGCACCACTGTGATGAAAGGAAAACAATAAAAAGGGGGAAGTGGAAGAAAAAAAAATTTAACAAAATTTGTAAAAAGATTGATTATATATTTTTTACTATCTTTCATGGCTTCTGAGTTATTCATTCTCGTGATTCACTAATTTAGGCGAAAACAAATTTTGCTTTATGTTATTTGGTGTGGACAAGGTGCAGCTCCATCATAAAAGTGCACAACCGTGTTCCGCGCCGCTCCACAGTTAACCCAGGTCTATGTTCCAAAAATTAAAAAAATTTCCTAAAATCATGTAAAAAAAATAATAAATCATTATTATTAAAGTGTTGCTTATTGGCAGCAGTGGGTATATGAGAACCCAAACATATTAATTCACTGCTGCCAAACCCCTTAAGGCAGCAATGCCAGAGTGAAAAAAAAAAAAAAAATCAATCAGTATCTGACTAGGCTCTCCCTAGAAGAGTCCACAGTATAATTTAAGGTAATAAATTCATTATAAAAACTTACTACATACATAAAAATAGTAATAATATTACAAATAAAAACCTAAAATTATTGCATTTTAGGGATGAATGTAAGATTGCCAATTTATGTTATTGTTGTTGAAAATTATAATAATTAAAATATTGTAATGATATTGTAAAAATATTCTAATTTCTAGTCTGAAGATGGGATAAGAAAGTAGATCCCAAAACGTCATAAAAATAAAGAAAAATTGTTGGGAGAGAGAGTTTTTAAATCTTTTAAAATAAACCCTTAGGACTTATGAAGAAAATATATATTACTTTTTATCTTCAACACTTCAAAAGTCAAAGAGATTGTAAGTATTTTTTCTTTATTTTTCCTGGGAACGTTTGGCAGAACTTTTTTGGCCATTTTTTCATTTGGCGTTAGCTCGTTATGACCCAGCCAACTAATTCTAGATTTAATGAACCTTAGAATATTTTCATGCCATATTGGACCAAAAATACGTCTCTTAATTTTCCTTTTGAATATTCTAAGGACTTGCTGGTCGGCTACTTATGTTCACGTCTCTGCGCCTTAGCACACAGGCCTGATAAGGGTCTTATATAATTTGAGTTTTGTGCATTTAGATAGTATTGCAGATTTAATCAACCTAGAGAGACCGTAATAAGCTTTGTTGTCACACGTTATTCTTCTCTTAATCTCGTCACTCACCTAACTGTTTATTTCAGTGCCAAGGTATGTGAAGTGATCAACAACTTCGAATGTATAGCTATAATACCTAAAATCTTACTTTCTTCTTCTTGCCTCAGAGCTTGATGCTACTATGTATTTTGTTTATCTCAAGATCCACAATTTTACTTTCTTGCACAATCTCTGCCAGAATTGCCTTCAATGCCTTCTCGCTTCTTGCCAGAAACACAATGTCGTCTGCTTACCCAAGTATTTGACATAAGTTCGATGCTAGACTTCCAACAGACACGATATTTTGTAGTGCTTTATGTAGCACAAGATTAAACAAAACTGCAGAGAGGGAGTTTCCCTGCATTGCACCAGAGGCAAAATGTATATTCCTGCTAACTCTGTTGCCAATGATTGCACTAGCCTATATCCGGGACATTGTCATTTTTATTAAATTTATTAATTCAAACAGAACTTTAAATTTTTTAAGGTATTAAACAGTTGAACTCTAGCCACACAATCAAAAGCTTGCTTAAAATCATAAATAGCATGTGGACATCTGTATTAAACTCATAACATTTTTCGAGCACTTGATGCAAGACAAAGATGTGGTCAGTAGTACTCCTGTTAGACCTGAAACCGCATTGGTAATCCGTGAGAATCTGTTCCGAATAAATTTTTAGTATTGTAGTTAAAATATCAGCCAGGATTATGTAAATAACATTTAGCAGAGTAATGCGTCTATATTTTTGACATATCGTCTTATCCCCTTTCTTAAAGAGCTGCAGAATCAATCCGAAACACCATTCCTCAGGCATAGATTCATCATTCCACATTTCAAATATCAGATTGTAATCCATTTGTATATTCTTTGACATAGATATTCGCCTCCATATTTAAGTAGCTCCATTGGAAAATTGTCCTTTCCAGGAGCCCTGTTAGACTTAAATGGTCCACGGCATCCATAAAATCTTCGTAAGAAGGAGGTTCTGCATCCGGAAAAACCCTGGTGTCCAAATCATTAACCGTACTGACTACCGTCACAGCGACGTTATGGCCTGTTCCGAGAACATCCTCAAAATGTTCCGCCCATCTATCCCTGATCTGATTCTCTTCTCCAAGAAGAAGACTCTCCTTACTGCGACAGTTGTTTACTTTAGGTTGCAATCCATTTCTCAGCTTCTTGACGGAGTGATAAAATCTTCTGCTTTCATTTCTCTCGTTTAGACCTTTCATAAGCTCTATCCTCCTTCTTCATCACATTCTCTTTTTATTTCTACAAAAATTTGTGGCTCTCTTTCTGCTAGTGCGGTACTTTTCTGTTCCCTCTTGTGTACCTTTGTAACATTACATGCCTGTTAGCGTTCTTTTGTTCAACGGCTTGGGCACACTCCTCATCAAACCAATCACTATTATGATTGTTATTAGGTATTAATTTAATTATGAGTAGATACGATTTTTATGTTGCCCGATTTTCGAACAGCTTTCTAGACTTAATTTGATAGACAATTACCAAAAAATTGTTTTTGTATTTATCATCAATCCAGGGTTTAAAGGAACATTTTGGTTCAAGTTTTATTTTGGCACAATGTACATATCCTGTGGAAATATGAAATTCTTGTACTGTTGAGTAATAACTTATGCTATTAAAATACAAAATGTTATAATCTATAGAGAAATGACTTATTTAATTCATTTAAACAAATTAAATACAAAAAAACTTTCAGAATTTAATTTTACATTAAAAATAGATTTCATGATTTATAAAAAGGTTTAAAATTAATGTGGTAGAAAGAAGCTTTTTAATTATACATTATTGAATATATTGGAAACTCTTTTTTTTTATTTCTACCCAAACTTTGTGAATATGTAAGTTAACTATGTATCACATCGAAACAGCAAATTTGAATTGTCAGAAAACCTCGAAAATAAGGGATTTTGCTGCTCTCAGACCACTCTGTGCAGTATATATCAAAAGGAATGAATCAGTCATAATTGGAAACTGAGTGGCATACAAGAAAACTGGTATTGACAAATCACTGAAATATTTAAAGCTAATAAAATTAATTGGCAAACTTTAAGACCAGCCATTGCAAATAGTTATGATGGCCAAACCAACATTGATGAAAAGTAAATACAATTTTAGTAATAAAATAAAATTCATAAGATGTATATTCTGTTTACTCGACATAATGCATAATTTAAATGTATGTAGGAAGCTACTTAGACTTCATTTAACTCAATTTTAATTATTCGGAGTATTATCTGATTGCATGTTTAATGTCCAATTTCAACGTAAACACGAGAATAATGTTTAACGTTCACTGTCTATTCATTTTAGAAAAATTAACTACGATAACTTGACCCTGTTGTTGTAGTGAACTTAAGTAAGTATAAATGTATAATTTTTTCAATTTAGCAAGGAGATAAACCGATGAACTTAGGAACTTAGTAGATTTTTAAAGCTTCTATGGATGAGTTTACTAACCTGCCAAGTTAACGACTCCTGATTTGTTTACAAATGTGTTAAAGTCGGTAATACTTTAGTCTGGTATATCCGATTAAGTTAGTTCTTCATATTTAACTTTTAAGTGATAGCGTATCATTAAAAGTCATGTCGAAAAAAGAAGCTGAAGCTCCTGTGGAATTAGAATGTCAATTTATTCTTCGCTTACCAGAGGTTGATATGTTATGTTTTTTTTTCTCATGAATAATTTACCCAAAAGTAGTTGGCTATTCACAGATTCTTTTGTATTTAGGAGCCAGGAAGAGTGCTTCGTGAAATGCTTAGAAGTGGAACCACAAGTCTTAAAGATAGATTTACTATAAAACTGGAGAATGATGTTAGGTATGGTGAAGTGAAAGTTGATAACTGGCATCTACATGCCAAGGTAATTATTGAATTCTCGTTTTGTAAATTTATTGTGTAAATAAGGTACATTTATTCTGTGGAATATCATTTATTACGATTTTTGGCTACTCCTTTGATGCAAAGCTCTTTGCAAATTAAATTAAACAAATGCAGAAAATTTTACACAGTTAAAACATTGGACACGGTCTGTTGTGATTGCTTTAGGTAGACTGAAACTTCCAAATACCTCTGTTAATCTGTCAATTGTCATGTTAGGACCTAAAAATGCTTCGATTCTCTTAAATGTGGAATCCGTGAAGACAATTGCACTAATATTGTGCTGAATAGGGCCTAAAAAATCAACATGAATTGTAATGAAGTGTCATGGATGCAAGATTGCTTTTGGTGCTTTATCTATATCTAGGTATATATCATAAGTCACATGAGTTAACTGTTTCATCTATTTCTTGGTCTAGGAAAGACTACCAAATATATCTTCTGGTAACGTTTTTCCTTTTTGTTGTTCTCATATGATATGTGCATAGTTGTACCAAATTTAGGAATGGAACATTTCAGATTGATAATTCAATACCCCAAATAAGATATCTGTGATCCAAAGTAAGCTTGTGCAAATGACATGTGTAAGTGAAGTAATCATCTTTTGACAGCTCCAAAAACAACATTGGACTCTCTAGGGTCTGTCTGAGTCTCTTTTCATTGTAGCAATTTATAGTATTATCTTTTGAAGAATACATTTATAACTTTTGAACAATTCTACATGATAATTGAAAACATTCATTAGAATTGACTGAGCTCAGTGTTTCAGTTGAGCAACCAATATACTGTTTTAATAAAATTCATAAAATAAAACTTTCATAAATATAATGAAATTGACATTTTTATTGCTGACAAAGAGAAATTTTATTTTAGTTAACTTTGAAACTACTACTGTAGTCAAGGAAAAATGAGTGGTAGGAAATTATAAAAAAAATCAGTTATTGTTGGAGTTAGTGATTTACAGTCAAAATAGATGAAAGTCTGTTTGTTTATACCATATCTAAAAATCAAATGCATTTATGTATTGTATTAAATATATCTAGAGGTTATTTATAGAAATTAATTTTTCTATGCATGAACATTTTTTTCTTTAATTCGGTAAATAAATAATATATTAAAATATTATTTAATGTTTCAGGTTGTAGATTTACCTACAATTGTAGAATCATTAAAGACTATTGACAACAAAAGTTTTTATAAAACTGCAGACATCTGTCAGGTAATTCTATTTTATTTTTTAAAAAGTATTGATCTTATAGTTACAATATATGTTAATATATTACTAAGTGATAGGGTAGAACAGTTTTAGTCAAATATAAAAAAAAATCTGGTGTGGTGCGCGTATCACAGAAACTTCACTTACCAACCTTAGTGTAGGTAGGTACTTTTATATATAGGAAAGTCAAAGTGAAAACAATGGTATAACTTCATTTAAAACAAAATTATTATCATGTTCTTACCGCTCATCGAATCTGTTAAATTTATACATTTGCATCCCTTTTCATTTCCTTTTATGGCTGTGTATAGTATTAAACAATACTAATAATTGTAAGAAAAATATTTTTTTTTTTGGAAAAATTCAGAGTTTTATCAAAAATATTTATCTTTATATTTACAAAACTTGTCAAAAAAATAACTTAACATTAGTAAATATTGTATATTATTAGGTTTATATTAGTAGATCCTCAACAAATCACTTGAAAATTTTTTTTAAAAATTATGAATTAGTGATAGTTAAATTAACAATATGAAAGCCCTGTACAGAGGAGTATAAGTTATCTGTAAACGGAGAGGATTGGCAAAGATCAATCTCTCGACTGTTTCCTTATAGCTTCCAACCCTTATTTCTCTTTTAGTTACCAATCGATTTTCTACATTTTGATTGGTATTGATCATTATATATAACAATTTTTTATATCAGTTCCCAATGTGAAGTGTTTAATTATTTCAAATGAAAAAAATTAAAGATATTTAGACAAAGGAATTTTGGAAATTAGGCATTTAAACGCCGTTTGAGAACATCAATAAGAATGAGACCTACACTATATTAAAAACTGCTTAATTATACACAAACATAAAGAATTTAATCAAAATCGCTTGAGCCGTTTTTGAGAAAATTGTAAAAATGTGTAATAAAATGGCACTTTTGGTCAGCCAATTTTGATGAAATCTATTGCTGTAACATCCCAGGCATATACAAACCTTAAATGTGGAACTTGAGTTGCATACGACTTTTTGTTTTTGATCTAGACTGTTCACAAACACCGTTTTACAGGACTTGGTTATTTGGACTCAGAGGACCTCAAAGCAAGTATTTCCGTTGAAAACTCCGATTTTAAAATTTTCATGATCGTAATACTTTACTTTACTATTTATTAAATATATAGGTAAATGAAAGTAAAATATAGCAGTAATTTTTATAATTGTTTAACTTAATGCAGTCTCTAATAATGACAAAGTTCCCAACCTGTATTCTTATAAATATTATTTTCATCTATGGCAGGTTCTAATAACTAAGTTTTTTAAATAATCAAGTTTGACAAGAATTATCGTTTAACTTTTTAGGACCCATCATTATAACCAGTAAAATTAATTGATCGCATACATATTTATAGCTAGAGTAAAAGTCAAGATCGATTCCATCGGTTTGGCACTAGATAAAAGTTAGTACTTATTGGCATTTACAACTGCTGATCTCTTGGATGAATTAGTAAACCAAGGTTTCCACTCTTAGAAAATTATATTTAATTTATGATTTTAATAATGTACATATCATTTTTATGTTAATTGTCCCATAGAATATCTAGTAACTAGTAGTTGGGTTTCATTTACTTCTCTTACATATATACCGTTTCTGAACAATATTTGTTTTGGTAATGTTTTAGATTATGATTTGCAAAGAAGAAGATGATCAAGTTACCACTGATGAAGAGTCACCTACTAAGCACAAAAAAAAAGATCCTAATAAAGTTGAAAAAAAATTTCTTTGGCCTCATGGAATCACTCCTCCATTGAAAAATGTCAGAAAGAGAAGGTTTAGGAAAACTCTTAAAAAAAAGTATGTTGAAGCTCCAGAAGTTGAAAAAGAGGTAAGCATTGATTTTCACACATTTTTATGGAATAATTTTAGAATGGATAATTCAGGGTTATTCTATTTTTAGATATTATCTGACAATTTAAATATATATATTAAAGTTGATAGAACTTCATATTTTAAGCTATCTTTGTCAAATAATGAAACAATGTGTTAGTGTAAGTTCTCTTCTTCTATTAGATCAGGTCTGGTCAACCCTAATACCTATTACTTACATTTTCGAATGTTCCTACTATCCAACAAGCTGTGGTTTATCTCATTGGTTGTTAAAGTATTGGTGTATTTTTGATGCTTACGCCCTTAAGTATATTAGGCATAGTGTTTTTAAATATTTGTCAGTTGGTTTTAGATCTCTCTAATTCCCAACCAGCAAACATTTATGCAAAAGATGGGTAAACGATGTCTCAAAAAAGATACAAGGTGTCTAAAAGATATATCGAAAGTCATCAAAAAGATGGCTTTCAGGTGTGCTGGTTTCAGTCCCCTTCCTCTCAAGCCATCCTAAAAAGGATTTAAAAAATAAATCTAAAAGCTATCTGCGATATGTCTGAAAATTTATACTAAAAAGATCATCTGAAAGACATCATTCTGATATCTTCAAAAAGATCATTAAAACAGATTTATTAGTTTATAAGGAAAAATAAACAGAAACGTCTTTGTTGAAATATAAATTATTTATTTTAAGACATATCAATGATTTACAAAATATTGACTTAAAATATAGTGGTAACTATTAAATCGTCCGGGATCCGGCCCACTATCACCTTCTAACCAGCCCACGAAAGTTTCTTTGATTATCTGGTAAAATTTTAAAAACTAAAAATATCTACATATTTTCTTTTTTTTTTTTCCATTCGAATGAGGTATCATCAAAATTTTTATATGAAACCTGAGGTAAGCTTATGAACGTACATTATGACCAAATGGTTATTTTCGAGCAGGCAATTTTCATTTTACAAAAGATATCCGATTCATGACGTTTTTAAGACATCTGGTTTAAGAAATTGTTAAGATCTCTTTTAGTCATATATAAACAGTCATCTAGAATTAGTAATCTGTTAGATATTGATGCTGGGTGGGTTGTATTATCATTTTCTGTGTTCAATTGAATTATTTTCATTATTACTTTCACTTACCTATATGTAGTAAGAGAAAATATTGTTTTATACATGAATATTAAAACAACTTAATCTTTTTCTAGGTAAAAAGATTGTTGAGAGGAGATAATGATGCAGTAAGTGTCAAATGGGAAGTCATTACAGAAGAGGAAGAGAAAAAAGTTCACATTAAGGAGGAACCTTTAGGGCCTGATGAAAGTCAGGATACTTCAGCCAATAACACCCAAAATACACTAGGTCTGCTAATTGTTCTTGTAATCATTTTACTGTAGATTAATTTTTTAGTTAGTATTAATTAAGATAGTTAACTACAACATCAACTTTATTTTATTTTATTATGACAATAATTGGTTTCCCATGGCAATTCGTAACTATTAACTATTGGATTATAATTTACGCATGTTCATTAAAATCATATTTAATTCTTAAATAAAATAGGCCCCAACACCAATTTCCTCCCATGTCAAAACAAATACTACTTCAAACTTTAATAAAAACTTATATTTCCATAATATTCAGTTCCCCCCTTATATAAATTATGAAGGATTTATTTCTATAATTTATTAACCAAGATCCAGTAATGGATTGTCGGGCTCGGGATGATGATGATGTATAGTCTGTTTGAATTAAATCCTTATACAATTTATTTCTGATGATTTATGTTAATTCCAAAATCTTCCACTTTGAGAAAATTTGGTCTGTCATTGATCTCACTCTAATATAGCCTACATTACATAGAGAAATTTCACATTCGGCAAAGAAGAGTAGCTTTGATAGAGTATCATTAATAACATTTCATATACACAGGATTATAGGGAGATGCTCTAGGTATTTATGCGCATGCTCATGAGTCTGATGTTTATATGACTATATTTTAGCACTGATTATCAGTTTTTGGCTGTCCCATTTACTTTATGACGCAAAGTATAGTATACGATCTTTAAAAAAATTAATAATCAACAATAATTCAAATGCATTTCAAGGTATATCATTATAAATAAGTAATATTGTGAAGAATACTGGACATAATAACTAGTTATCAATAAATTTAATAATTAAATTAAAGTATATGACTTATTGGTGTAGTGCTAATAATTAAAAACTAATCGATTTGTTGTTTCATCAAAATGTTTCTGATTATTTTGTTAAACAGCTGAACATGACATATTTGGAGAAGCACTTTCTGATTCGGAAGATGAAGAACCTCATTTAAATCTTGTAGAAATTGAGGAGAATTCAAGGTTGTCTGCTGATGATTCTAGAATATCAGATTCAATGTCTTTACAAGTATGAATTTTATTTTAAATAACATTGTAATTAATTCTTAAAAGTAACATATTTCTAATATCATACATACACAATCATACATTGTAACATCGTACTTTCTGTTTTCAGATGTCTGATAGGGGAGAAAGAAGCGATGAAAGGCTTGTCACTGAATTTACAGGCTCAATGTTTCCTGTTAAGACAGAACCTGAAGATGATCGGGATTATATGAGGGGCACTAAGGAAGGGCTCACAAATGGTAATTACTTGTTTATATTGTATTATTATTTATTATATAACTTCAAATTCATAATAAATAATAATAATGATGGCTGACTGTAGTGAATAATTGAAGAGAAGTTGGTTGAAGTGTTCAGTCAAAAATAAACAAATTAAAAATAAATAAATAATATTTATTTTTATATTTGCTGATGTTTCGGCCTTCATCAGTGCCAAGAAAAGACCAGATAACAATATAAGATACTACTAACTAATAAAATAAAAAAAAATAATGTAAGAAGCATATGAAAACTATTAATAACAGTAAAAGAGAGGAACTTATGAAATAATTAATAACTAATAAATAATTATATAATTCATCTGTGGATCTGTATACATATCTTCATATGCTTACATCATCTGACTCGATATTAAGACAAATATCATTCATGGTTTTAGAGAATATGTTTATTGGTTTTGTTATATAATGTAAATTAGTCTGAAGATAGAGTAATTCTATATAAAGTATTTAATACATTAAGATTATAAGTGTTAGGTTTGTACTGCATAATTAATGCCTTCACTGCTACAGCACTGTTCCTTAATAATCCAAATATGTGACCCAAAACATTTGAATTAGCCATACTTTATTTTTTATTTTTAGAAGATATACAAGCTCGTCTTGATGAACTCAGAAGTGAATTAAATGAATTAAGAGTTAGAAGGAGTCAACAAGAAATGGAAGTAGCTAATATAGAGAATATTGCTCTTCGTCAAAGGTTTCAAGAGATCTTAGATGGACTTATACAGGAACAATTGGATAAAGAACAAGAGGTATTACTTGTTTTTATTTACTATTGTTTATTAATACAGAGAAATGTATTTTCATATTTTTTATTTTCTATTTCAGTTTCAGGAATTATCTCAACTTCTCATGTAAAGCCAAGGAATATATTAGCAAAATCATGTATATTTTATGTTTACAAAAAAATAAAATAATTAAAAAAAAAACATATATTTGTAAATTATATTTTAAAATTGTTGTGTAACTATAATAAATATTAAATGTTTTTAAACAAATTCTTATATTATGTTAACTTTTTGTGTATTCTGAAGTCATTAAGGGAAATAATTTTTTAATGTAGATATTTATGTTTTCATCTGATGGAAGAGCTAGTTGATTGTTATTAATTAGGTTCATAATTTCATTTCTTTTTTTATTCAGTTTAAACATTTTCTCTGACATATTATACATATCTTTTGTTTTTTCTTCATGGGCAATTAATGTAATAATTCGTCTTAAAGCTATATCAGCAATATGTTTAGGGTTGTTATTTATTTTCGAAGATCCTTTATCAATCTCCACTTCTACCGGTACAATTGCAGAGTTGAGTAAAATTTTAATGGCATCTAAATGTTGCTCTATATTTTCTTCACCACTTACTGTAATTGTATTTTTTTCCCAACTATTATAATAAACAGGAACTTCCATTTTTTCATTAACGTTTAGAAGCTGATTTGTTGGAAGAGAGTGATCTCTATTATAATTACGCATTAAGCATGTTATTAGTGATGTTTGAACATAAACCTGACAAAATTTTATTCTATATTTCTGGGCAAGTTTATAGAAGACAAAACGCATACTATGATAAAACATGTTGTCATCTAAAATAATTAACAAACTATGAATAGGTAGTTTACTATTCAAAAAATTGGTTATTGCATCCTCCACAGATAACAAGATACTGTTTCTTTCTTCTTTCCAAACAGTTTTTTCCAAGTCCCACCTAATCAAATCATCATAACAAAAGTGTATAACATCAGTAAAATTTAACTTATTTTTTGCTATAAGGGAAGCTAAGTATGTTTTGCCAGATGCTGGAAGTCCTATTAAACACAAAATTGATATCTCAGGATAAGCCATAATTATTTAATTAACAGGAACTTCATTTGTTTTCACTTCTTCCTCATTAGATGGTTGATTATTCATGCTACTAAGTTCATTCATTCTTCTTTGTATTATTTCTGGCTGTATTTCAACATAAACCTCCATCAGTTTATGATTTAATCCCAAATACTTAGTGACACATCTGTCTAAGCACTGGATCTGAAAAACAAAATGTTTAACGCTACATTATCAACAGTTATGGAAAAAATCATTATCAATATATTTTCAGTTAAATAAATAATTTTTTTTTTTTTTAAACTTTTATTATGATATTTACAACTGTATTAGTATGAATATATCAAGTAAATGTGTACAGAGGAATATTATCACATGAAACACGCTTGTTGAGAAACTACCCATTGGTAGCACTCTAATAATTTGGCTACATGAGAAGATCACGAGACCATCTTCTTTTCAGACGCCTCGGAGGGTTATCAGGAATCGAAGAGGAAGCAAGGTTAGAAACAAGAGGATTCGGATGGTTATGAAGTTTATTATGGAAGGATAGGTATCTGGATTTGGCCAAATTGGAAAAAAATGGAACATTGAGATCTTTATGGATTATTTTATTTGTGACAAAGTAAGGAGCATTCAGGATTTTACGAAGGATTTTGGATTGTAAAGATTGGATACGAGAGGAATTTGAGGGTTTAGTGGAGCCCCATAGCTCAACTCCATAAGTCCAAATAGGTCTTATTATAGTCATATATATGAGTCGTTTGTAATTCATTGGAAGTTTAGAGCGTTTGTCCAGTAAGTGTTGGAGTAAGCGGAAACGTCTAGCAGTTTCTTGTCGTTTCAGTCTTGTATGAGGATTCCAAGTGAGACGTTTGTCCAGCTGGAGTCCTAGGTATCGGATTTGTTCTACAGGGATAAGTGGGGTGTTATTAAAGGATACTATAGGACAGCAAGTCATTGGTTTATGAAGAAGGGTAAAGGTGATTTGATGGGATTTATTGGAATTTATTTTAATCCTCCAGTTTTGACACCATTCTTCAAGGTTTGTGATGTGTGATTGAAGAGTTTGGGATGCAATTGTTGGATCATTATTAACTGACAGGATACATGTGTCATCAGCATACGTTGTGATGACAGTGTTAGGATGGGTTGGGATAATAGCTGTATAAACTGTGTAAAGGATAGGACCAAGGATACTACCTTGAGGAACTCTGGCAGATTGAGAAAAGAGGGATGAATAGGTATTATTGTGATTTACTTTGAAGTGCCTATCAGTAAGATAGGAACTGATGATAAGAAAATATGTAGGGGGGAGGAATTTACGGAGTTTGTAAAGCAATCCCGGATGCCAGACTTGATCAAACTCCTGTTCAACGTCGAGAAAAACTCCAGTGCAATACATTCCGCGCTCCAATGCAGAGGAGACGACGTCTACCACACGATGACATTGCTGGATAGTGGAATGGGATGTGCGGAATCCAAATTGGTGATCAGGGATTATGTGGTTAGAATCTAGGAGGGATACAGGCGCTTTAAGATGAGCTTCTCCAGGATTTTGCCCATGATGGGTAAAAGAGAGATAGGACGGTAAGAGGATGGGTATTCTGGTGGCTTTTTGGGTTTATGTATCATTTTGACTACAGATAGTTTCCAAGGGTCAGGAAAATATGTGGAACGGAATAAGGCGTTATAAATGTAAGTAAGGAATAGAATGGCTTTTCGAGGAAGCAGCTTAAGAATGTGGGAAGTGATTAGGTCGTGGCCAGGAGCTTTGCGGGAGGGTAATCTGTGAATAATATTGGATATTTCTGAAGGATAAAATGCTTTAGGAGGAGGAGTCATTTGGAGTGGAATATCCAGTTCTGTTTCAATACATTCAAGCTGATTTGGATTAAGGATATCAGGATGTGGATTAAAAGTTTTGAAGAGGTAATGAGCAAAAATTTGGGATTTTCCTTCATCAGATTTGGACCAAGTTTGAGCTTCAGTAAGAAGTGGACGATTAAAGTCTTTAAATTTCAGGAGCCGTTTAGTCGTCGTCCACAGTGATTTGTCGGTAGGTGTAAGTTTTTCAGTAAAATTTAGTAAATTTTGAATTTCGTATTTTCTAATTTCTGATTTTAGTTTGTTAGTCAGTTGGGTATAATGAGTTTTATCTGTTGGATATCTAAAATAATAATTTAAAACAATCTATAACTCTTTGTCATTTATCGAAAGGTTAGTGAAAAATTGTTGACTTGAGGAACTTATGGCTATTCCTTTGGAAAATTCAAAATTACCTGTTAAGTCCCTCTGTGCTGCAGCACATAATTATTTATTTTGTTACAAAACAAAACTAGGGAGGGTACACCCACCCTAATAGTCCAGTCAATGAATGATTATAGAAGGAAATGGCGGTGACACAATTTTTTACTTGGGACATTGTTTGAACTAATAAGGAAGTAAACATACTAAAAGTCCCTATTCCTAGATGATGAGCCAGATGAGGGGGAGAGAAGTGCCTAGTAGGTCACTTTTTTCGAGTTTTCGCTTATTTCAGGAAAACTATCCATAACATCGACAAAGACGTCCTATACAAAATTAAAGCTTTGCAATTATATACTTTTTTTTTTGGCAATCTCGCTTAGTTTCCAAGATATCCGTCCTCAGCTATCGCTAATGTGCAACAAAAAATTGTTTACCTCAGGTTTTATACTGTATTTAACTAGCTAACTATTGATGGCTTCGCTTTACGATTACGTCATGGGGAAGAAAGTTAAGTTTCTAATAAGTAAATTTTCTTGAAAAATTGAGAATTTTACGAAATCGGCACCTTACCGTTGTTCAAGCGAACGATCGCCGATTTCGTTGATAGGCAACACATGAGGTTCCAAAATTTCATCTACATAGCGAATGGCCGTCAAAGACCCTCCACGAACAACAACCAATTCTGTACGGCGCTCCATTGAAATCCCAGCCCACACCATTAAGGAACCACGTTGGAAAGGTTGGCTCTGGGAAAAATTACAGGCTGCATATCTTTCGTTTCTTCTTCTCCACACCCTTTCACGCCCGTCTGGAGATCGAAGAGTAAATCTTGACTCATCTGTAAAAAGTATAGCACTCCATTCGTCCATAGTCCAATGGCTGTGTTCTCGAGCAAAAGCCAGCCATGTTACTCTGAGTTCTGGTCAACTCTGGTCCTCTTACTGGACGAAAAGCCATTAATCCATACTCATTTAATCTTCTCCGCGCGGTACGTTCAGAAATTTGCACACCTCGAACTTCTTCGAGCTGATGAATCGCTTGAACAACGGTAAGATGCCGGTTTTGTAAAATTCTCAAAGTCAAAAACCGGTCATCCCGTGGTTCTGTTATCCTAGGCCGTCCAGAACCAGGCCTTCTATTGTAAGAACCAGTTTCCCGAAAACACCTGACGGCGTCTCGTAAAGTTTCATATGGAACTCCGATGGCATTAGCTGCATATCTAATAGAATGTCCATCATCAATAAGTGCCACATCCTCAGCACTAAGAGGCATTTTTAAACTTAATATTGAAAAAATTAAAAGCCGGAGACTAAGAAATGTGCTGCAAGAAACGGCACTGAACTAATGATACTGAATAAACATTTTGATTCCATAGAAAGTAAACATTGGAATCTAGAGTCATTTCATTGAATTAAGGATTAAGGGTTATTGTCCTCTATATTAACATTCCTAATTGAAAACAAATAAAAAGATTACCTATTTATTTATTAAAAACAATAGACACCAATCCAAAGCAGAAATATTTTTAGATGAAAACATGAAAAAATCAAGTGGGTGGAATTTTTTGCCTGTCAGTGTACTTTATATGTCGATTCTGAGAATTTGCATAAAATTTTTTTTTTTTATAATATTCCTTATTATTATATTCCTATATTTATATATATACGGAGAGAGAGAGAGAGAGAGAGAGAGAGAGAAATATAATAATAAGGAATATTATAAAAATTATTTTTTTCTGCAAATTCTCAGAATCAACATATAAAGTCATTGATGGATAGTTTTCCTGATATAAGCGAAAATTTGAAAAACAGCAATGAACACGAGGCAAACTTTTTTTTTTTTTTTAAATCGACCATAGTTGATGACAGATATTTCGGTAACTAAGCGAAATAGTGAAAAAAAAAATATAATCAATCGTATTGCAAATGTTATCAGATTTAGTTTTGTATAGAAAGTCTTTGTCGATGTGATGGATAGTTTTCCTAATATAAGCGAAAACCCGAAAAATTGACCTTACTAGGGCGCCTCCCCAGATCTGGCTCACCACCTAGGAGTGGGGACTTTAATATTTTTACCTCCTTACTTGTTCAAACTATGTTTCTTAATATTTGATAGTTGATTGTAATCATGACCAAATCACTAAACATCTTTGTATAAACATTGTTCAAGAAACAGAATTTCCCTAATTTTGCATTTGACACAAGACAATCCTCCTTAGTTTGTTGTAGTACATATTTTTTCTTTTCCACGCTATAGAGTTACCATTATAATGTATAATGACTACTAAAGATTCAATGTCTTCTAAAATAAACTGTAATGTTAATATTGTGGATAGTGATTATTTATAATAACAAAACTTATTCAAGGATTCATAAAATAAGTTTCCAGTCAAGTGTATTGAATAATCAAGTAAGCAAAAGAAACAGCAGTATTCTCCATATATTTTAATAAAAAAACAATATTCCCAAAATCTAAGGAAATTTATTTATACAAGAGTCCAGTATTTTGTTTCTACTGAAGATAAAAATTAATTTTACTAGTAAAAAAAAAAAGCTGAATAAACAAAGGCATGTTAGTTTTCTGCCATCATTAGGATTTAAACTATCTAAATAATTAGAAGTATATTTTAATAGATACTTCTCTCAAAAAATAATTGGGTTCAGAAAACCACTAAAAATAATTACAAGGATCACTAGCATATCCATTTTTTTTTTGGAGGAGGCTTCAACCCGAACGCTTTTTAAAAAAAATATATTTAATGATTATTACTAGGGAAGAAAAACAAAGAAACTAATTACCTATATGAAATGGTGTTTAAGTGATTCTTTAAGTCCTATTAAATATAATTACATGAACAGTAAAACTTTTAGAGATAATTTTTCACAAGACATGGTTATACTTTACCATTTTGAGGGAGGAAGGGAGGGGGGGCTTCTACTCAAAAGCCTCCCCTCTGGAT